TGAATTGTCCACTACTTAATAAATGATTGAATAGTACTGACAGTCATTTTCAAGGCTTTGGATATATTTTTTATATCCTCTTCCATCTTTATAAAATTACATTTCCTTATTACACTGGTCTTTTGGCAGTTCTTTTCTGCTCCCCATGGCTCAATATCTAACCTTCTCAGTGCATCCAAGTGAGAGCTAACAAATTCATTGACTATTTATACACACACTAATTACAATTTAAAAAGCCACAAGTGTGGGAAATTAACCTTTAATTGACATTTTAATCTGTGTGTGTCACCTTGTGTGTCTGTAACAAGGCCAACCATAAACTAACAGATTATATATTTTGCACACATTCCCATGCATTTCTATCTCTGTCATTTTCCATGTTCCCAATAAGTAGCCTACTTGTATTATGTTATAAGAGTATATGCTTAATACATGCAGAACATATAATGCAATCTATTTTACACTACCTTGTGGTTTCCTGAATTACCACATCATTTGAAAAATGTGGCATGTAATAAACAAAAGAAATGCTACATATATCCCAGACAAGTTGTGAGCATGAATAGCTTAATAGGACTCTATAGGCATCCATGGCATGTATAGATGATGGTAGTGCACTCAGTTCTTCATCTGGAATTCAGGGTGCTCAACTGGATAAGTCCCAGTCCCAAAAAAGGACCAATTGTAGCATTTGAAAATAGAAAATAATCCAGGCACTCCAATGAATTCCAAAATATAGGCAATCTTTATTGGAACAAGGAACCAAACAGCAACGTTTCGACCCCTAAGGGGTACCTAACATTATGTTTTTTTGACCCCAGATCCGGACACAGACATATCACTGTATGTTCGGGGTTGAGTTCGGTGTTCGGCGATTTAATGGCACGTTTTCAAAGTCTGCAGGGCAGCCAATCAACAAGCGTTTGACTCCTGTGCCCTTAGAAGCCATCACAGCCATGCCTACTAATGGCATGGCTGTGATTGGCCAATGCAGCATGTGACCCAGCCTCTATATATAAGCTGGAGTCGTGTAGTGCCACACGCAAAGGAGCTCTTATTAATGTAGGGAGAGGATGCTGCAGCTGTGAAGGACAGCTTAGGAAAGAATTCTGCAAACTAGTACATTAGTGGAGTGCACTTCATATCTGAGAGTCAAATAGAAGCTTCAAATTCCACGGTTACATCTGAGTTTTAAAAAGTAAATTTTTTTTGGTGCTAAATAGTACATTAATGGGATGGTACATTAGTGGGGTGCACTTCATATCTGAGAGTCAAATAGAAGTGTCAAATACTGCTGTCACATTGCAGTTTTAAAACTTAAAATTTTTCTGCTAAATAGTATTTTAGTGGGATGCACTTCATATCTGAGAGTCAAATAGAAGTGTCTAATAGTGTGCTTACAGCGCAGTGGTAAACATTCTAATTGTTTTGCTGCTAATCTGCTGCTTACATTGGAGTTTTAAAAAGTCATTTTTTTTTTGGGTGATAAATAGTATATTTGGGGTGTGCATTTCATATCCGAGAGTCAAATAGAAGCGTCAAATAGTGCGCTTACTGCGCAGTTGTAAAAATTCTAATTGTTTTGCTGCTAATCTGCTAAATAGTACATGTTGGGGCGTGCACTTCATATCTGAGAGTCAAATAGAAGCATCTAATAGTGTGCTTACAGCGCAGTGGTAAACATTCGTATTTTCTGGGTGCTAATCTGCTAAATAGTACAATTTGGGGCCTGCTCTTCATATCTGAAAGTCAAATAGAAGCGTCAAATAGTGCGCTTACTGCGCAGTTGTAAAAATTCTAATTGTTTTGCTGCTAATCTGCTAAATAGTACATTTGCGGTCTGCGGTGCACTTCATATCTGAGAGTCAAATCAAAGCATCTAATAGTGTGCTTACAGCGCAGTTGTAAAAATTCTTATTTTCTGGGTGCTAATCTGCTAAATAGTACATTTTGGGACCTGCTCTTCATATCTGAGAGTCAAATCGAAGCGTCTAATAGTGTGCTTACAGTACAGTTGTAAAATTTCAAATTTTCTGGGTGCTAATCTGCTAAATAGTAAATTTTGTGGCCTGCTCTTCATATCTGAGAGTCAAATCAAAGCGTCTAATAGTGTGCTTACAGCGCAGTTGTACAAATTAAAATTTTCTGGGTGCTAATCTGCTAAATAGAGATGTCCCGAACGGTTCGCCGAACGGTTCGCGTTCGGTTCGCCACGAACGGTTCGCCACGAACGGTTCGCCAAGGACTCATCATTGAGTAAACTTTGACTCTGTACCTCACTGTCAGCAGACACATTCCAGCCAATCAGCAGCAGACCCTCCCTCCTAGACCCTCCCACCTCCTGGACAGCATCCATTTTACATTCATTGTGAAGCTGCATTCTTAGTGAGCTGTCCAGGAGGTGGGAGGGTCTGGGAGGGAGGGTCTGCTGCTGATTGGCTGGAATGTGTCTGCTGACTGTGAGGTACAGGGTCAAAGTTTACTCAATGATGAGTCCGTATAACCGCTGTGGAACTGCTCAGCTAACCGCTCGGCGAACCGTTCGGGACATCACTACTGCTAAATAGTACATTTTGGGGCCTGCTCTTCATATCTGAGAGTCAAATAGAAGCGTCAAATAGTGCGCTTACTGCGCAGTTGTAAACATTCTAATTGTTTTGCTGCTAATCTGCTGCTTACATTGGAGTTTTAAAAAGTCAATTTTTAATTTTCTTTTTTTTTTTGGTGCTAAATAGTATATTTGGGGTGTTCACTTCATATCTGGGAGTCAAGTTGAAGTGTAACTTTGATTCGAATTTACTACATCGGTCACTTGTAATATTGTTCCACACCTACAACACTTATTACACAGATCTAAGTGATAGAAAACAGATTGATATTTTCCACACTAGAAACTACCAGATAACAAGCTGCTATATTTAAACCAGTTATCAAAAGCTAAGAGGTACTTAAACAATATTGTGCGGTTTGGAGGAAGAGGCGCTGTTCGCACAGAGGCACCAGCACAGCATAAGAGGGAGCAGGGTGCAAAAGCGGAGCCGCGGTCCCCTAGCGCTCGTCGACATGTATTAGCTTGAGAATTACCAGTTATCCAAGTAATACATGTAGCGATCAAAGGATCCATAATAGAGTTGTGCGAACCCGAACTGCAAAGTTCGGGTTCGTACCAGATTTAGCGATCCATTCGTAGTTTCACAGTCAGGTTGGCAGTCCGGTGACCAGGACCCAGATACTGTCTGGGCGGCGGTTGGATGATCGGGACCCAGTATGCCTGATGTTGAAGTTAGGAGTCACAGTGTGGAATGGATTAGCAGGGTCTGGTGCAGGGTAACCGTACGCCCTCTGGTGTTGAGCACCAGCGTTTGTGCGGCCACATACCAGGACCCTGATGCAGCTTCAGTAAAAAAGTACTGGATACCAGAAGCCATCACCAGACTGATCTGCAACTTGGAACAGGATGTGACATTCACTGTAGCGCCTATGCGCGCTTTTGGTGTTCTCACCCTGCTAACTTCCGCCTTCCTGCTCACCGCCTCATGAGACTGTGCGAGCAGCAGCAGGCGATAGTGGAGTTTCAGCTGCAGCACGCACGGGTCAGTTGCTCTGCACCAGCCTTCCCTCCAATTGATCAGAGTTAAAGAATTTCAAATGGACTCATTACAATTACAGGGCCTCTAAAGAGTCCTGTATTGTTATTTGTCGTCACTATCTTCCCGCGCCGGGAGTGGGTAATTTGCGCGCCTGCTGCCTTCCTTGCATGTGGTAACCATTTCTCAGGGGCCCTGTACAGAATGGAACCCTAATTCCCCGTTTCCTGTGGTCACCATGGTAGGCGTAGAAACTGGCATCGAAAGTTGATATGGATGACATCCGAATGCAAAGTCGCCATCAAAATTTTTTTTTTTTTTAAATATATATATATATATATATAAAAAACAGTGATGGCTACCTCATCCTCCTCCTCCACCGCTGCTTCCACCTACACTGCCACGGTCACCGCCTCCTCAACTTATGGGTCACTTAGTATAAACTATGTACACAATAGTAGAGGCTTGTGAAGAAAACTGGAATCAAAAGTTGATATGGATGACATCCGAATGCAAAGTCGCCGTCATGGGGATATGCGACTGGCCCGAGGTTCTCTAGAGTCAACAAAGTGCCTGCACAACTATAATGTCAACAGCTACTCTGCGGAACAGCGTTGTCTTTTTTCATATGTCCCAATATTTTGGGGGCTACCCCAATTAAAAAATAAATAAAAATAAATATATATATATATATATATATATACATATATAGAAAACAGTGATGGCTACCTCATCCTCCTCCTCCACCGCTGCTTCCACCTACACCGCCATGGTCACCGCCTCCTCAACCTATGGGTCCCTTACTATAAACTATGTACACATTAGCAGAGGCTTGTGAAGGCCTTTTCTCCATGCATCAGGAGTTGAGCATTTCTCCATGCATCAGGACTGCAAGAAATGCACCAGAGGCAGCAAATGTTTCATTTTTTTATATGTCCCAATATTTTGGGGGCTATCCCAATTAAAAAAAACAAAAAAACAAAACAAAAAAAACCAAACAAATAAAAAACAGTGTTGGCTACCTCCTCCTCCTCCACCACCACCGCTTCCACCTACACCGCCACAGTCACCGCCTCCTCAACCTATGGGTCACTTAGTATAAACTATGTACACAATAGCAGAGGCTTGTGAAGGCCTTTTCTCCATGCATCAGGAGTTGAGCTCAGTTTGAACAATGAAAGAGAATATCCTGCACTCCAACCCTCTCTCAAATGGATAATTCTGGTGATCATCCTGACAGCCATGCTTTAGATTTAGATTTATGTTCTTCCAAAGCTAAAATCAAAGATTCAATCTAGTGCTATTTTATGGCTCTGCTGTATTTTTAATTTTTAGGTATTTTATGTTATTTTAAGTGATTTCCCTATCCACATTTGTTTGCAGGGCACTTGTCCTACTCTCACCCGCATTTTACTAACTTTTGCAGCTCTCCAGGAGCCCTTTCCAGGAGTTTTTTAGAGGCATTTTTGTGTCCAAAAGTTCGGGTCCCCATTGACTTCAATAGAGTTTGGGTTCGGGGTCAAGTTTGGGGTCAGGTTCGAGCCCGAACCCAGACTTTTTTTCAAAGTTCGGCCGAACCAGCTGGACCCGAACATCCAGGTGTCCGCTCAACTCTATACATAGTCCCAGGTTCCTTAACCCTGCAAAGGTAATTATTGTAGTTTCTAATAAAGTCTACCAGACAGCCATTAGAGGGACTTCCGGGTTGCGAGGCGACTTTTGGCCGTCTGACGCTGGATGTCCTCACGCTATGCATGAGGACATCCAGCATCATGCAAAACGCCATAGCAAAGCATTATACATGCTTTCCTATGAGGGAAATACTAATGCAAGCTTGGCCACTTCCGTGCACACACGGCAGCAGAGGCGGACCTCGAACCAGCACCGAGGAAGATCAGCACTGGACTCAGGTAAGTGACAGAAGGGGGTTTGACCCGTTCTGCACCAGAGGGGTGAGGGGGGCACTATAGGAAGCTATACTGACAGAAAAATAACTTTGTTTTTTCTGGCAATATAATTTCCCCTTTAAATTCAATTACACTGTTCTCTAATTTGGTATATTTCAAGCAAGAAAAGGACAAAAATATCAATCAAGTACATATGTGAGACATTTGTTTCCCACGGTCTAATCCTCTTTATAGTCCTTAATGTATATGTATATGTATAAGAAGTGATCCATTCATTTTCTAGAGACATAGAGCGGTAGCCATGACGTGAAATGTATAACTCTGAGTATAACAACTTTATCTTGAAGACTGATTTGTGGAGACAACTCACTTTGAAGATATATTCCATAAAAGGAGTTAACATGAATGGATACTTAATGGACACACTTGCACTGTGCCTACTTGATGCTTTCTTGCAATAAAATATTATATCTATACTGTACATGATGGTTTCTCTCCTGGATTGACATTACTCTGTAATAAGAAAATGTTAATCAACTATTTTCTTGGCTACTCCAACACATATTAAATATAAAGACAAAAAGGACATTTAAAAACAAAAGAAAAGTATCAAACATCTCCCATGTTATCATGTACATGGGAGATCTTAGATGCATCAAAGAGCTCCCATGTTTCTTTGAAGTTTGTGTGCCATGGTTTGCAATCACATGGTGATGCTATTGTAGTGTAAATTAATTTTCTATAGGTTCCTACTCTGGACTATGCACTAAGAATGATGCTTCTGGGGTCCAAACTTGTCTCTGCTCTCAACTGTATATCACATAACCACTATTCCCAAAACCATTTGCTCTAACTTAACTCTACCTTCCACTTATTGCCCGTTGCCACCATTTGCTTAAATGCAATGAATTTCTTCTCATGTACTCATGCTAAGCCTAGTGTACACTACATTAGCCAATTAATACATCAATTACACCAATGCATTTTATAGATACATTTCATAGCTTTAATAATTTGCTAAATAGGCTTTCTCATTAGCTCAGCTGGAGCAGAAGAGACATCATTTATTATTTCAATGTTAAATCTAATTGAAATAATTAAGTTTTACAATATTAAGAGAACGATAAAACAAAAATAAAACCAAAATAAATGAAAATACAGACTGTAAAACTATCCTAATTAAAACCACTTCTGGCATGCATATTTCTCCATAGAGCGTAGCACCATTTCTCAAAATACATTTTGAGTATATGCTAATTAACATTAAAGAATATTTTACATTTGAACTATGAAAATACTGTGCTTTAGTGACTCCTTACAGGGTCTTGTACCTGTATCTTAGGACCAGAATGTTAAATCATTTATAGCTGCTAGCATAGGATATATACTTTTCTTTGCTATTTTCAAGATACAATATGATATTTAAAAAAAATGAAGACTACATGGGCTAATTGGTGATTACTATCTATGATTCTACATCAGGCTCCTTTCCTATGTAACTGGTTCCCACATGGTCTAGCTATTCATTTTTATACATTCATACATTTTTGCGAAATGATCTTATCTTTTAATTAAAGGCAGTTCAGATGTAAGAGAACACACACACGGTGCTTAAATTAATCTTGCATGTATCAGAGCACTTGGCTCTGTATGGCAACATTTAGCATTTATTTCTAATTATTCATTTTTGTTTTAGACACTGAAGAACTTTTTTACATTGCACATATGTTTATGGTTAAAATATTTCTCAAAATTGGGCTTCGCTGAAAGCCCATAACCATTTTCCTTAACTCACTGGTGATTGCAACTCAGAATAGATAATGCAAGGCAGTAACATGCAGGTCTACATTACATCAACACAGAGGTGTCATGGTAACAACAAGTCCCTGCTCTCTCAGGTGCATACGAAATGGAAATACAAATAGAAATCCAGTTGTAATGCTGCCCAATGAAAAGGGGGAGTGGAAAAAGAAGAAACACAGCATAAAACACGACAAAAGAGTAGAAAATTTGAACGGTCAAGAGAAATACATGGCACACAAAATAGAAGAGCACAAACCAAAATGTACAAAAACAAGAGAGCTGCCTAAACTGCATATTGAATGGCAGCTCATTACCAAGTCAAATTCATGTTCATAGGTGCCTATATAAACAAGAATCTTAGACTCTGCCGCATTACCTTAATAGATACCCACCACTCTCAGGCCTCACTTCACACTCAAACTCAGTGAAGAACTGCATTTAACATCCTGCAGAAACACCCACCACTCCCAGGCCTAACTTTACACTCAAACTCAGTGAAGAACTGCATTTAACATCCTGCAGAAACACCCACCACTCTCAGGCCTGACTTTACACTCAAACTCGGTGAAGAACTGCATTTAACATCCTGCAGAAACACCCACCACTCTCAGGCCTCACTTCAAACTCAAACTCAGTGAAGCTCTGCATTTAACATCCTGCAGAAACACCTGCCACACTAAGGTACTGACTGAATCTTGGAAGATACTCCACCTCATTTATTCCTGGATTGCTACCATATTCTCATGTGTTACTATAGATGTGTTACCATTTATACCTGTAGTTTGCCACTGTAATTTTCTGTGCATGTAGTTTGTACTATTGTCATTTAATGTTTCTGACCAATATTTCATGTAACCAGTTATTAATATTTTGGGTGATAGAATTTGGTTGCTAAACTTTTCAATAGTATATAACACTTGACTACTCTACCCTCCTCCCCCCCACCCCTCTCCCTTCCCTCCTCCCCCTTCAGCCATGCTGAGTTTATCAGGTATACGGGCGCATGGTTGCAGATGGGCACAAATATTCCTGTCAGGACGGTAAATACCCTCATAAATGTTTCTATGTGTGGATGAATCAGTTACAGGGAGGAAATGAGATTCAGTTTCCAGAGAGACACACAGCAAGGGCTAGTTGGATGAACAGATAAGTGGACCAAAAGCCTGGACTAGACTCCCATCAGCATCAGTCAGAACCGAGATCTGGCCGCCTAGCACTTGTCCAGATCTGTCCAGATCTGGCCGCCAAGCTCTCCCTGCGGCCGCCAGCACACCTATCTGTCTAGTCTACCCACCCACAGGTAGAAAAAAGTATGTGTCAGTCTGTCAGTGGGAGTGTGTGCGTGTCTGTGTCATGCTGTGTGTGTGTCTGTCTGTCATGGTGTGTGTGTATCTGTGTCATGCTGTGTGTGTGTCTGTCTGTCATGGTGTGTGTGTGTGTCTGTGTCATGCTGTGTGTGTGTGTGTCTGTCTGTCATGGTGTGTGTGTGTGTGTCTGTCTGTGTCATGCTGTGCGTGTGTGTGTGTGTCTATCTGTCATGATGTGTGTGTGTGTCTGTGTCATGCTGTGTGTTTCTGTCTGTCATGGTGTGTGTGTGTGTCTGTCTGTCATGGTGTGTGTGTGTCGTGTCAGCGCTGTGTGTGTGTCTGTCTGTACAGTGTGTGTGTGCGTCTGTGTCATGCTGTGCGTGTGTCTGTTCGTCAAGTGGTGTG